TTCCTCGTAACGCACACGCGCTGTGTCTTGAAGGCAGTCCGTCCGCTGAAGCGTAGTGTGGGGCTGCCGGCTGGGGCTTTGCTGGAAATGGCCACGGGGCTTTTGGGATATGAGGCTGAGAAAGGTTTAGGATTTGCTGCTTGGAGCCCCTCCTCCTGGAGGCTGCAGGAGTTTGGTGCCATGCATCTCAGCTGGGGATGGGGAGGGGAACAAAGTCAGCCTGGAAGGGGTGTGAGGGAAGGCTCGTGTGCAGTTGTGGAAGGGAATTGCTGCTGGCGGCGGAGCAGTGCGCTCTTTTTTGCGCCGCCCAACAAAACTCTGTAATCGGCATTCGTGAGCACACTTAGCTTCTTTCCCAGGCATGACAATCATTCCTGGCACGTTTTCCAGCGAAAATAACTTCTGTTAGGGGTGCTGTCGCTCTTAAAAGAGGACTGGAGAATTTGCTTAGCCAAGGAGCAAGCCTGAGGGTTCTCAGCATAGTGTTCCCTTAATTGACGTGGCATAGAGAGAGTTCTTCCGGGCAGAAACCATCTCGCCTGTGGTGATACAGGACTGCTTTTTCTGGCGGGGTTGTTTCTCTTCCGGGGCCGCGTTGCTTTCCATCTGTCTCTGCTGGTGCCTAGGCCCTGTTCACCCGCCTGCTGCTGCCAGAGCCTGGAAACCACCTGATTTACATGACCTCCGCCAGCACGCAGAACCTCTCCGCCGACCGGGACGCGGGGGAGAGACAGATTCTGCGCTACCTCTACGCCTGTTTCCAGAGGGCAAGAGAAGAGGTGGGACAGGGCTTCTGACGGAGAAGGCAGCTTTGTCACCCGGCTTTCTGGTCCGGGCTGACCAAGCTGAGGTTTCAGTGGCCAGAAGCGGATGTCAGGGCCCCGGTTCTGTCTCATTCTCCTTGCGCAGATAACCAAGGTCCCAGAGAACCTGCTGCCCTTCGCCGTGCGCTGCCGGAACCTGACTGTGTCAAACACTCGCACCATCCTCCTCACCCCGGAGATTTACGTCAACCAGAACGTGTACGAGCAGCTGGTGGACCTGATGCTGGAGGCACTGAGAGGGGCGCGTAAGTCCGGCGGGGTTGCCCCGCTCGCTTAGAGCTGCGAGGCTGCCCTTCGCGTTAAGCTTGCGGGAGGAGCCTCGTGGACTCGGGTGAAGCTTTGGCTCCCCTCGTTGCTGAAAGGGAAGGCTGCGTTTAGGTCACAGCGTGTAACCTCAGTTTGGCAGTTGGAGTATCGGGAGTAACAGCCTTCCTTCCCTCACTAGACTTTGAAGACATGATGGAGTTTCTCGAGGAGGTCATAGAAGCCTTAACGATGGATGAGGAGGTGCGGACGTTTGGGGAGGTCATGGTTCCAGTGTTTGACGTTCTCTTGGGCAGAATCAAGGACGTGGACCTCTGCCAGATCCTGCTGTACACGTACCTCGATGTGCTCCTCTACTTCACGAAGCAGAAGGATATAGCAAAGGTGGGTGCCTCGGCCTGATCAAGAGCTCCGGTCATGGGTTTTATGTGCAGGGGCGTGTTTATAGGACCTAATCTGCCGGGGTCAAGCCAACAGTACCGCGCAACAGCACCTTGCGTCTGTACTCATACCCCTCTCCTCCTTTCTGATAGCTTGTCCCAAACCCGTAAGCGTGGTTTTGTTTTCTGCTGGGATTTTACACAACTGTCAGTACGTCCCGCTGCCTTCCGTAGGTTTTTGCAGGCTACATCCAGCCCAAGGATCCCAGCAATGGACAAATGTACCAGAAGACTTTGCTAGGCGCCATTTTAAACATCTCCTGCTTGTTAAAGACCCCCGGCGTAGTGGAGAACCACGGCTATTTTCTGAATCCATCCCGATCCAGCCCGCAAGAGATCAAAGTGCAGGAATCCAACACTCATCAGGTGGGCTGAAGCGTGGCAGTACTGCTTCCCTGTGTGTTTTAGCGGCCTCTCGCTGCCTGAGGGTTAGAGACGCGATGTCAGGGCGTGAGTTCCGCCGCTGGCTCCTTAATAGCCTGGCCTGTGACTAAACAAGTCTCAAAGCTGCTTTGGATTGTCCAGCTGTAAAACGCGAACGGTTTAGTCTGCTTCCTTCGGTCGTGGTAACCCAAGTCTTCGTGTCGAGCAAACTAGTTGTCTGAGCTTCGAGGAAAGGCTAGGATGGTACTTGCGGAACAGATACCGGCACCGTAACTTGAGGCGCTACGTGAGGATAATCTACCGTAGGCGCTGTAATCATCAGGAAATAGTTTTCAGTACCTGTCTTGTAACGAAAATGCTAATTGACTCCCCAGCAGAGAAAGTGACAGGCAACCTTCTCTCTCATTTTGAAAGTACATAGCTTCCTTCCTCAGGGGAACGGTGCTAGGAGGATCTCGGGGAATCTTTCAGGAGGGAACCATCGGAAAGCAGGATATAAATACAGGAGTAACCTCGGGTGCAGGAGAGGACACAGAGAAGGGCTTTCCCAGTCACGTGTTCTTTTGGGGTCGTTGTTGCTGCCAAAACGCATAAAGAACTTTGGTTTTGCTCCCCATGGAAACAACTTGCTCTCAACTATGCTTTTGAGTGCGTCCCTCGTTATTCTTGGCTGCCGGCCTCAGGATTTGACTTGTTCATAACGCGTGTGTCTGACGGGTGGTTAATGGAGGCGACCTGGCCGTGGTTTACTTTGAAACCCCTGCCCCTGAAGAGCAGGATGCGGTGAGGAGCCAGGAGAGCTCTGAGAGCGTTAACGACGGGAGAGGCAAAAGAGCGATCTCGCCAATGACTGCCTCGACCGCATTGTGTTCCCTGTAACAGTTTATGGCCCAGTTCCACGAGAAGATCTACCAGATGCTGAAGAACCTGTTGCAGCTGTCTCCGGAGACGAAGCACAGGATTCTCTCCTGGCTGGGGAACTGCCTCCATGCGAATGCGGGCCGCACCAAAATCTGGGCTAACCAGATGCCGGAGATCTTCTTCCAGATGTACGCCTCAGATGCCTTCTTCCTCAACTTGGGAGCTGCCCTCCTGAAACTGTGCCAGCCCTTCTGCAAACCAAAATCTTCCAGGCTGCTAACCTTCAACCCTACTTACTGTGCACTGAAGGAGCTGAACGAAGAGGAGAGGAGGAGTAAGAATGTACATATCAAAGGTACGTCCAAAGCTTGGGGGAGGAAGGGAGCGAGAAAGGGCATCTCTTCAGCTCCTTACTGCTCCCAGCAGTGCCCTCTCAACATGTGCCCTTGAGAGGAGCAGGGGGTGAGATGAAAATAAATAAAACGCTGCCCAGCGTCACCGGCGGTTATTTTGTGTTTTCAGCGGGTGCCCTTTCGAGCCCTCTGCTCACCAACGCTGCTGGGTAGTACTTGACGCAGAGATGCTTTTTTCGTTCCAGGTTTGGAAAAAGAAACATGCTTGATACCCGCTCTGAGCGACCAAGAGCCAGAGTTTGCAAACAGCTACAATCTGGTGACGGAAAACCTGGTCCTCACACAGTACACCCTTCACTTGGGATTTCACAGGTAACTACTCTCGGATCGCCCCCCGGTGCTGTTTTCCGCCTGTGTACGGCCACCTAAATTTTTAGTAAATATTCAGAATACAGAGTAGGCCACTTGAGCTGCCGGCTGTCTTGCGCAGCGCATTTCGACTGACGTTTGAGCCTCAGGCCGACTGATTTCGGAAAGAAGTTTTGTCTGTTGGTGCTCACAGTTAACGGTAGCGGTCTTACGGGCTCCATGTTATTTATAGAAGCGTAACAACCAAGTGCTGGGTGTCTGTGGGTTGCTCGGGGGACGGGGCCTCCGGCATCTCAGTTCTGTACTAGAAAGCATCTTGGCAGCAGAGCACCTGCCCGCTGCGAGCTCTCTGAACCACCCCAGCAAACGGATTTAACAGGAAGCAGAAACGCAAGGTAGCCGTCGTTTCCAGGAAAGGATTTTCTGGACATGAACACGCACTCCTTTCCTCAGCTTCCCTCTGCAAATTGTTGCCTGGATACTGTGAGGTCACTGCTGATCAAAGCACTGTCCCCTTCTGGTTTATTTTCTAATTATAGAAATAGATGAAAAAGTTATGCAAGTGGCTTGTTGCTGGGAAACTGAAAATGTTGCCTCGCCGGTGTCTCTTGGGCTTGCCGGATCCCTGACCTTGGTAACCTAAAGGGGTTCGCAGCTGCGCCAGCTCCTGGTCGGTTTTGAGGGCTTTGCCGCTTGCTCTGCAGACCGCTGCAGTTCCTCAGCATGGTCTGGTGTCCTCCCAAACCTTGGCTTGCCTTTCTCCAAAGGCTTCCCGTCACTGGACCCCCAGGCAGATAACCCACAGGAAACGGGCGGAACAGGATAAAAGCACGCACTAGCTTACCTGTTCCTTAGGTACTCTCTACTGAACGTATATACATCTCGTCTCATCCCTCCTTGCCTTGTTTTCCATGTAGGTTACACGACCAGATGGTAAAGATAAACCAAAGCCTTCACCGCCTGCAAGTAGCGTGGCGAGAAGCTCAGCAGAGCTCCAGCCCTGCTGCCGACAGCCTCAGGGAGCAGTTCGAGCGCCTGATGACCATCTATCTCTCCACCAAGACGGCGATGACGGAGCCGCAGATGCTGCAGAACTGCCTGAATCTGCAGGTGTCCATGGCGGTTCTGCTCGTGCAGCTGGCCATGGGAAACCACGGGACGGAGCCGCTAGAGCTGACCTTCCCGCTGCCCGAGGTGGAAAACAGCGCGTTGGCCTATGTGCCAGGTGAAGCTGCTTGTCCTGCTGGCGGTCGGTCTGGGTGCCTGCTGCAATTAATGGTCCAAGTCTAGAGCTACTCGCGTAATAGCGCGTTTAGAGTAGTTAATGCATACGTGGCCCGACTACTTAAGATGTTTGTAGCGCCTGGGTTTCCTCTATACTGAGATGGGTAATGGACATTCTGCCTTTGAAAAGAAGGGTTCCTGAGCGTGTAAGCAAATGTAGTCGAGGCCAGCCGCAACTTCAGAAAGGTCAGCAGCGAGGTCAGAAGCTCCAAAGAAACCTGGGACTTCCGAGTTGACCTTTGGTGGTGAGGTGCCACCTGTAATGGCACAACTGTGGTGCCATCCAGATGAGCGCTGGGAAAGCTGTCCGAGGATGCGCTTTTCTGTCGGGGGCAGGACACGGGTGCTACAACTGCGAGCATCTTTCTTTGCGCAGAATACTATCCCTGAAGAGAGTCGCTATCCCCTTTTAAAATGTGGGGCTTTTTGAGGGGGCGTACTGAGCGTATTGATGGCCGCTGACCTTCTAAAGGTCCCACTCACAGCCGAGTTGCAAAGTTTTGCCGAAAACCATATTGATTTACTATTCTCCCTATGCACAAAGCCCTCCCTGTGGCTTCTGTCATCTAGAGATTCTCTTCCCTGGCTTTTTTTTTTCTGTAACGGTGCGTGCAGCCGGCAGACAGCTGCTGGGTTTCACCCTGTACGTGATCTGGCTCCTGAGAGAGGTGAAGGGAATTCCTTGCGTTACCAATTTCATCGGGCTGGGCATCCTTCACGACTGCAGTGTTCTGATGCAGCTAGTTAGTTCCTGAAACTTCGGTTGGAATCGAGGCGATGAGGGGAGAGGACACCGGAGACTTGAAAAGGGCAAAATGAGCCGCCCAAGGCGGAACTCATGCGCAATCTCTGTTCACAGAATTCTTTGCCGATAATCTGGGAGACTTCTTCATTTTCCTGCGGCGTTTCGCTGATGACATCTTGGAGACTTCTGCCGATTCTCTGGAGCATGTCCTCCACTTTGTTACTGTTTTTATGGGCGATGTGGAGAGGTAAGTGCAGCCCCGGGTGCGAGCCCTGTATCCACAGAGTACCAAGAGAGGAACAAGCGAGTGGAAATTGTCAGAGGTGTCTCGAGGCTTGGTTTATTGAGCCGCGGGTGGGTTGATCTCATTGGAAAAGCTAAATTCTGCCTGCAGGAGGCACAGTGAGCAAGGCCCTGCCTGAAGGACGCGGGCTTCACACGAGGCACGGATGGGACTCGGTGTCCAAATACTACTTTGGTCGTATTACGCAAGAGCTGTGTCAGCTAGAGCCATCTTGGTACTTGTTTAAGGAAGCTATTTGGATTGATCTGTTTGGAGTATCTCTATGAAGTCTGCTATGGTAACTGAGCACTGAACAGAATTGAGTAGTTTTATCGATCTTCCTGATAAGACACCGCTGCCTAAACTACATTTCTGCTGTTGGTTTGTTTGTACTCGCATGTGTAAATACAGTGAACTCTCAGTGGCGGCAGCAGCAGATGGAGATCTCACTGGGTAGGCAGCACTCACTGTCCCTGGGCTGGCCCCGGGAGATGGAAGCTGTGGTTCTTCCTGGCAGTACACTTAGGGCGTGACCTCGGGCGGGTGGTTTGGCGTCTGCCTCACATGTGCAGCGGAAAAGAGTTAGACCCTCACCTCGGTGATCTGTCAGGTACTAGACAGCAGGCAAAGCGCTTTGGACTTAGAGCATAAATTGGAAGCAGGTCGCTGGGCAAGAAGTCAACAGCTGGGACGAGTCGGGTTTGCCACAGCTGACAAGCAAGCATGGGCTGCGAGCAATGAGCGCTGCTGGGGAGGGAGGGAAGCAGCAGCTTTGCTGTTCCCACACCCTCTTGCCTCTCTGCCCGAGATTGAACTGAGCGTGCGCCTTTGCCCCGTGGCTCCGGTATTGAGAGGGAGCCACTGGAGGCCCGTGGTCATTTTACAGGCGGTCAGCAACAACTGGGCGCCCCTGCATGGATTTGTGCAGCTCCCGGAGCGTTTCCTGAAGAGCTCGGTCCCCGCACCCCAGCCCTCATGCCATGCTGGATTTGCTTTGTTTTTTCTCTTGCAGGATGAAAAATCCTCATCTGCGAGCCAAGCTGGCAGAGGTGTTGGAAGCTGTGATGCCTCATTTAGATCAGGCCCAGAACCCGCTCGTCTCGAGCGTGTTTCATCGCAAGCGAGTGTTCTGCTCCTACCAGAACGCGGCCCATCTTGCCGAGGCGCTTATCAAAGTGTTTGTGGATATAGAGTTTACTGGTAAGGGGAAGAGTTGTCTACCTTCTGTAACATCTGCAGGGGGCATGTCTCCAGGGTTTGAAGTACGTCGGTGAAAACAAAGGAATCTGTTTGCACTTTGTTAAGCTGCTCAGGCACGTTAGGCAGGCGGCATTCCAGCCAGGCATCGGTCTTTGCCAACTTCTGGCTCGTGCCTGACTGTGACTATCTAGAAAGGGTGATCTCCGGAGCTCGAGCTTTTCAGCTCGGTCCTCGCCTGTCGTCTTCTGCTGTGGGATCTGTCGTACTGCTTTGAAATCGGTGACGAGATGTCACTGCTTGGCACGGGAGCAGGGTTTCTACTTCAAACACACCGTGAACAGGAATTAGCAAACCCTGCCTGTGCCTGTTGCCCACCTGAAACGCTCTTTAACTTTTGCTTATGTCTAGGTGACCCGCATCAGTTTGAACAGAAGTTTAACTACCGCCGTCCCATGTATCCCATTCTGAGGTACATGTGGGGCACGGATTCGTACCGGCAGAGCATAAAGGTGAGGCGGGAGGCGCGTATATAAGCAGCTCTTCGTGAAGCGCGTGGATCCATGTCCTGCCATTGGGACTGTTCCCAGAGCTTTAATCGTTCTCTCGTTATTTGCAGGCTCTGGCTGATTACGCCTCGGAGAACCTGGAGGCAATGAATCCCCCTCTATTCTTGCGTTTCCTTAACTTGCTCATGAACGATGCCATTTTCCTGTTGGATGAAGCCATACAGGTAGGGCTGAGCACGGGCGCTGTCAGCATCACGTAAGCAACAGTTCTTGCTCCCTTGGAGACGGCCGGGTTGCAATAGTGACCTTCTGTCCCTAGAACCACATCAGTTGCTCTGGTCCTGCCCAGTGAATCTGAGCAGTAGATACTTGCAGGAAACGATTCCACGCTGGCGTGGCCAATGCCCTGGGAGACGGGGTAAAGGCAAAGGGACGGTGGGGTCTGGGGCGCTGCACACCGGCCATTTTCCTCCCTCCCGTCGGTCTCGGGAGGCAGGTCAGAACAAAGAGGAACAAAAGGGCTTTTTCAGATCCAGCATGAGGCATGCTGGGAGAGGTGCGAGGAAATCTGCTTGTTGCTAATCTGGACGCAGCCAGGCTTTAAACAACCTCTGTGGTTTTTGATTATCAAATCCCCTTGGCCTTTGCGCAGGTGCTTTATCCAAACAAAGGCCTTTTGTCTCCAGGCAGCTCTCCTTTGGGTTTACAAGGCGACTGCCAGGTGAACGCGTGTCCCTGGTGCACAGTGATTGTCTCCACGCCTTTCAGAGCTGCCTGTTGCTCCTAGAAAGGGCTTTTTTGGGGAGCTTTTACCTGCCGTAGAATTGACCGTCCAGGCAGATAAGACGGGTGATGTGGATATCGCCCACCTGGTTGTGAACATTTGTGGACTTTCTACGGTTTGCTGCCTAAACAAATGTTCTGTGTTTTGTGAACTGTGTGTGGCTGTGAGAGGCCGTTTCAAGCACTCTGTTGTACCTACCGCATCCCGAATTGGCCTCTGTCAGCCCGGAGCAGTGCAGAACGGGTCCGGCTTAGCCGTCATTACCCATTTACCTCCCATGCGCGTCCCTGCCATGTCTTTGCAGTACCTCAGTAAGATTAAAGTTCAGCAGATCGAGAAGGACCGTGGCGAATGGGACAGCCTGTCCCAGGAGGCTCGCCGTGAGAAGGAGTCGAGCCTGCAGATGTTCGGTCAGCTGGCGCGCTTCCACAACATCATGTCCAACGAAACCATTGGCACTCTGGCCTTCCTGACCTCAGGTAGGGAGAGCAACCCCTCCAGGCTGCCGGGAGCCGGAGAAGGGCCCTGCCTGGGAACAGGCAGGCGCGAACTTGGTTTACGGGGTGGTCGGAGTGGGAGGGGATTGCTGTGGAGCTCAGGAAACTGCTGGTTTCTGTTGCAGAAATTAAGTCCCTGTTTGTGCATCCTTTCCTTGCCGAGCGCATCATCTCCATGCTCAACTATTTTCTACAACACCTCGTTGGCCCTAAAATGGGAGCTTTGAAAGTCAAGGATTTCAGCGAGTTTGACTTCAAGCCGCAGCAGCTCGTGTCTGACATCTGTACCATCTACCTAAACCTTGGGTAGGTAACAAGGGAGAGAGCTGGCACGTGGGGTGGCGGGACCCATCCTGGGGTTGTCCTGGCTGGCAGAGCCCGGCGGCCCCCTCTGTCGCGGGGCGGAAGCCTCCCCTCTGCAAAGAGCACTAACAGAATGGCTCTGTGTGCTTACTGCGTGCCTTTTGGAAGCATGCTGTGTTCTTGGGTTACAGTCTTAATTTAAATTACGCGGGGAAGTCAGCTGCAACCCAGCTAGCAGGGATGGAAGTTAAGCACCGTCATGGTTACATTCATGCCTTGGTTCACTCTGGAGAGGACACGGGAGAAACACTTAATTACAGTCAAGCTTTTCTCTTGCTTTGAGTTCTGTGCTGCGGTAACGCAGCTGTTGTGCGGACTGTGTTTCGCAGCCTGGTAAATGTGGATTCTTAAACTTTTGCTCTCTTTAAACTTGTCGTCCAGGGATGAAGAAAACTTCTGTGCCACGGTGCCCAAGGATGGCCGCTCCTATTCACCGATGCTCTTTGCCCAGACCGTTCGGGTTCTGAAGAAAATCAACAAGCCTGGCAACATGATAGTGTCTTTCAGTAACCTGGCTGAGAGGATCAAGGTGAGAAGCAGAGTGAATTTAAAACTAAAAAAAAAAAAAGGTGGAACTGATTCCTGGGGTCCTTTTCCCTCTGTGTATCACTGCATCTTTGCTGTGGAGCTGGATTTCTGGGAGTGGGGCTTCCTCTGAGGCTCAGGTGGGGCAGTGGGGAGGGCTCCTTGCCCATGCGGGCCTGTAAGTGCTTTAGCTACAGGTTAGGACCAAACCTGGCTCTTAGAGACTCTGTCTCCCAGTTCTTTACAAGCGGTGCGTGCCCACCAGTCTCTTGCAGACCGCCAGCAGCAGGAGGAGGAGACTTACGCGGACGCCTGTGATGAATTCCTGGATCCGATCATGAGCACTCTGATGTCAGACCCTGTGATACTGCCCTCCTCCCGTGTCACTGTGGACCGCTCGACTATAGCCCGGCACCTCCTCAGGTACAAAGCACAGGACTGATACTTTTTGGGGACATCTTTTGCTTATCTGGTGATACCTGGTCTCGGTGCCTTTGCTTCGCTTAACAGCAGGAAGATCACGACAGTCTTCCTGGCCTATTTTTATCTTTTTTTAATTTTAATTTTATTTCGAGCACCAGGGCCGTCCAAATAATCTCCTCAATGATTTGTCTTTCAGTGACCAGACAGACCCTTTCAATCGGAGCCCCCTCACTATGGACCAGATCAGACCAAACACAGAGCTTAAAGAGAAGATCCAGCGGTGGCTTGCGGAGAGGAAAAAGCAGAAGGAGGAGCAGGAGGACACGCTGAACTGAAAACCAGGATCTCATCCCTAAACCTACAATCACTGGCAAGATCAATGCCTCGCAGAGGTAGCAGCTGGAGCTCCAGAGCATCTGTGCAACTCGCCACCTTAATCGAGATCGCATTTAGTGCATTGCTGCCGCCTCCGGAGTCTCTCCTAGGACCTTCCCTTCCATCCCTTGTTCTGTCTTTTCCTTTCAAGACTTATTCTTAAATACTAAGACTTTCCACTGCACTACAGCTTCGATCCTCTGCCGCGTGGGAAGACCGCAGCCTCTTCTGCGTGGCCTGGTGTCCCGGCCCTCTTACTACTTGCTCCTGGTGTTGGCCATGTTCTTTCCCAGCAACGCCAAAAACCTGC